AGAGTGATACCTGGCATTTTCCCAGAAATTGAGCCCTTAATCACAAGTCCCTGCTGTTCTTTGGTAAGGCTGCTTTTTTCATTCTCCCTGGGAAGAAACTGACTTCTCTTTAAAAATCCTTTGTCTTTTGTTAAGCAGCCAGAGTCTACCTTCCTCTCAGTATTAGAAGCACTCTTGCATTCTGTGAAGTACATCAGCCTCAGTTAACCCCTCCAACTTCACTGTCTTTCTGCTTTGCCTCTCTCCACTCTCGCACATCTAACACCACACAGGCCATGCTGTTCTGGACTTGATGCCAGAGATGCCTTATCTCAGTTTTCTTTACATTTAGTGTGTGTGTGTGTGCGTGCGTGTGTGTCTGTCTGTCTGTCTGTCTTTGTGGGCATGAGTTTGCCAAGGGATGTGTGTATTGGTCAGAGGTGGGTACTGGAGATGGAACTCAGGTGCTTTGCTTATAAGCACTTGAGTTTTCTTGTTGCTTGCCCCAACTCCATAAACCCCATCCCTGTCTCAATTTCCTTTCTTTTCAAAATTTATTTTGTTTTGTGTTAGTGTTTATATAGCTATGTGGACATGCCATGGCTCCTGGAGGAAGGACAGAGGGTAATTTTAAGGAATAAATTCTCTTTTTTTTTGCTATGTGAATTTCAAAGATCAGACTTAGGTCTACAGGTTTGATGGCAAACACCTTTATTGCTGAGCCACCACCTTGGCCATTCATCTCAAATTTCTATTATATTTCAGCTGGTGTCACCTAAATGGTCTCATTTTCTGGAAGTATTTCTCCTTTTAATTCTTTATTCACTTACATTCATTTTTAAAATTATTACAGTATATGTATATGATATATGCATTTAGGGGCCTGTGTATGGAGGTCAGAGGATAACTTTTGAGCAGTTAGTGCTTTCCTTCCACCTTTTTCATGGATTCTGAGTATTGAACTTAGATCACCAGGTTTGTGCTGCAAATGCTTTTACCCAGTGAGCCAACTTGTTTAAATTTATTTTTATTAATTTTTAGACAGGATCTCACTATGTAACAAACTCGTGGCCTTGTTTTCTTTTTGGTTTTTTTGAGACAGGGTTTCTCTGTAGCTTTGGAGGCTGTCCCGGAACTAGCTCTTGTAGACCAGGCTGGTCTCGAACTCACAGAGATCCACCTGCCTCTGCCTTCCGAGTGCTAAAGGCGTGTGCCACCATTGCCCTGCCACTACAGGATTTCTTGTTCTCTCCATTTTGATTGGTTGTGGTTTTCTGTAATGGTCTCCAGCTTTTGTAAAGAGAAGTTTCTTTGGTGAAGGGTAAAAACTAACTTATCTATGGATATAAAGATAAATATATAGAAGTAGTTACGGATTATGCTTTTCCCCCTTTTTAAAATTTTTTTAAAGATTTATTTATTACATATACAGCATTCTGCCTACGTAGCAGAAGAGGGCACCATATGTCATTATAGATGGTCATGAGCCACCATGTGGTTGCTGGGAATTGAACTCAGGTCCTCTGGAAGAGCATTCAGTGCTCTTAACCTCTGAGCTATCTCTCTAGCCCTGCCCCATTTTATTTTTGTAAAGTAGTGGATGTAGTTTCTCCTCCAAAACCTATGCCCTTACCATCCCCAGGTAGTTGGCTAGATTTCCAGTACTAGGCATGATTTCCCTCCTGTTGAATGGGTCTTAAGTCCAATGAGAGAGCCGATGGCTACCCCTAACATGTGCCACTCCTGTACCTTTAGGTTATCGTGCCATGCTGGTCTTTGTGGTTCATGGGTGTTATAGCTGAGTGGGACTGTTGATGCCTCCCTCCTTTGGAAGCTTGTATGGCGCCTTCTGGTACCATGAAAGCTAGTCCTCAGGGAGGAAGCTTTTAGGTCAGATCCAAGTCAGGGATTTCTGGGTCCTGTTTCTGAAGTTCATTGTGTCTTCATCAAAAGGGATTTATCTTTCAACTCTGAGAGGCAACCAAGGGCAGCATCAATAGCTTATAATGTTTTGGGAATCTCTTGGACAACCTGGACCAATAATTCAAAAGGGGCTTCTCATGCCTGCTCTTGGGGTTTTTTTGTTAGATTAGTCTATGACTCTTGGAGGGAACATTGTCATCCCAGATGGAAAATTTTCACTTAAATTGTATATGTATGGACAGACTTACATGTATTGTATACTTATATGTATTATATGTAATTTTAGGTAGGTGGTAATATGATGCTTTATTACTTTTGAAAGGCACCCTTACTGTTAGTTTCCACCCTCCCTCTTCCGTATTTAACTCTCTCCTCTCATTTTTATCATATTTCCCTTGAAGGACATTTAGATTGTTTTCAATTTCCTAGCTATTGTGAACAGAGTGGCAATATTTATTTTATTTTATGTGTATTGATGTTTTGCCTGTATTTCTCTGCACAGCATTTGTGCCTGGTGCCTTCGGAGGCCAGACAAAGGTGTACTATCCCTTGAAACTGGAGTTACAGACTGTTCTAGGCCACCATCTGTGTGCTGAATCTGAGTCCTCTAGAAGAGCAGTCTCTTAACCACTGAGCCATCTGTCCAGCCTCATATATTTATTTATTTATTTATTATATATTGTTGACACAGGTTCTCATATAACACAGCCTTTCCTCACGTTTACCGGGTAGCTGAGGATGACTTTCAACTCCTTATCCTCTTGTTTCTATCTCACAAATGCTGGGAATACAGGCGTGTACACTGGATTTATGTGGTTCTTGGGACTCAAACCTAGGATCTTGTATATGCTAGGCAGGTATTCTACCAAGTGAGTTATAACCCCATACCTTTTAAATTTTTTTTCGAGACAGGGTTTCTCTGTTTAGCTTTGGAGCCTATCCTGGCACTCACTCTGGAGACCAGGCTGGCCTCGAACTCACAGAGATCCTCCTGCCTCTGCCTCCGGAATGCTGGAATTAAAGGTGTGTGCCACCAACGTCCAGTCCTTTTAAAAATTTTTCATTTTAATTTTATTGAAAGTGTATGATGTGTGTGTGTGTGAGAGAGAGAGAGAGAGAGGGAGAGAGAGAGAGAGAGAGAGAGAGAGAGAGAGAGAGAGAGTGTGTTTATGTTACAGCCTCCATGTGGAAGCCAAAGGACATGGGGGGGCGGGGGAGTTAGCTCTCTCCTTCCAATATGTGGGTTCTAGGAACTGAACTCAAGTCTTCAGGTTTGTATGTAAGTGTCAAATCACTGAGCTATCTTACCCCTCCCCTATTATTTATTTATTCTTCAGATTTGGTTTTTTTTTTAGTTTTGTTTCTGTGTGTTGGTGTGTGCAGATGCCAGATACAAGTGCCATAAAGGCCTAGAGGAGTGAGCTTCTCCTGGAGGTAGAGTTACAGGTGGTTATGAGCTGCCTGCCTGATGTAGGTGCTGGGAACTGAAATTGAGTAAGTACTTTCAACTCCTGAGTCATTTCTCCAGTCCTCTATTTTTTTTAAAAAATTGAGACAGAGTCTCTCTCTATATGTGTCCCCAGCTGTCCTAGAACTTGCTATGTATACCCAGCTGATCTTGTACTTGCCTTCTCTGAGTCCCAAGTGCCGGGTTGACAGATGTGAGCCACCGAGCCTGGCTTTTCTTTGAAATTTTGTCCTTCAATATCACAGCCTCTGGTGCTAAACTCACCTGTGTTTTTTTCTCTTCAGGCCCCTCTCCTTCCCTTCTTTGCGCCCAATAGGCTCTGGCTGACTTGGGTCTGTGTACTCTAGGATTAGACCTTTGGCCCTCTACTACAATTACATTCTTTTAAAGAGGCTCCCATTTGTCTTACTTGGTGCCACGAGCAAACTGGTTTTAGCAGTCATCTATATTTATGTAGATTAAAACTGGACATCAGTATACAATTACCTCTCTAAACTGCACTAGGTCTTCAACTAACACTTGTCTAGGTTGTGAGTCTTGTTTATCCTGCTTATTTAAAAATTTCATGATTATTTGGGAGGCAAGGGCACATTGCTTTAAGTTTGAGACCAGCCAGGTCTTCTACATATGGTGCTCCAGGTCTGCCAGGGTGGCATAATAGACCTTTTTCTATTGCTAAGATCTCACATAACCCAGGCTGGCCTCAAATTTACTGGGAACCCAAAGAGGATCTTGAGCTTATGATCCTCTTGTTTCTACCTTCCATTGCTGCTGTGATGACAGATTGATGCTGTGTGTTGAAGATATGTGATCTTGTTTTTTTTTCCATTTTTTAAATTTGAATTAGAAACAAGATTGTTTTACATGTCAATCCCAGTTCCCTCTCCCTTCCCTCCTCCCCTAACCCCCCCAACTAAAACCCTACCTATCACATAACCTTTTTGCTCCCCAGGGAGGGCAAGGCCTTCCATAGGGGTGTCTTCAGGGTCTGTCATATTCTTTGGGATAGGGCCTAGACCCACCCCTCCATGTGTCTTGGCTCAGGGTTCCTGTGTTTGCTAGGCAAGCACTCTACCAAAAGAGCTACATCTCCAGCCCCCAGCCTGATGCAAAAACTAAAAAAGAAACAACCAACAGAACCCCAAAGGAACAACAAAAACAACCAAAGAAACAAAACTTTCACGGCTTCCCTAAAATTTCAGCTCCCTTCAAATCTGTGTCTAGTTAGACCGTTTCTTTTGCAGTTTTCTCCTTCTTTTTTTCACTTGAAACAACCTCCAGTGTTCTCTGCCACATTTATCTTTTAAACACTCTTCCAAAGTCACTTTGGAAACCTCTCCTACTTTCTTCTGCTCCTTCTCTCTCCCTAACTTCATTCTGAGGAAGTTCATTTACCAGTGGACATAGTGAGCCCCTAGGCAAGAATTCTGCTTTGTTTTTCTCCTTTCCCAGTTTTTGCCATGGTGGCCCCTGGGCTGCACTGGAGGGGGACGGTCAAACATTTGTGGTTAGTGAAGTTGGCGGGAGAGTGGGAGCAAGGGGCTCTGCTTGCCAGGTTCTGAGTTGTCCAGGAGCATTAGAGGCGGGGCTGAAGCTTGCTCACTACAGGAGGGAGGGAGGGAGAGAAGGAGGGGCAGGCCCAGGCTGAGCGTGGCCTGGGGCCAAGGGCGTCTAGAGCGGAGGGTGATGGGAGCTGCCTGTGCCTTAGGGAACACTTTTTAGGCGTTTGTTTTGTACTATCGCTGGAACCCACCGCTGCAACACCCCCAATTTCACAGCCAGCGTGAGTCAGCTGGACCGGCTGCGGGACCGCTAAGGGAAGGTGGGTGAGGGGGACTCCTCAGTCCCTGGGGTGGGCAGGACCGAGTAGTGACTAGAGCACCCTAGATGAGGTCCCTGCTCCCGCAGGACAGGTGAGCGCCAGGTCCAGCTGGCCGCTGGGTGGAGCTGCGTGAGCCATACTCCACGGCGTCCTGGCCACTATACAGGTAACTCCCTTCTTGGGCCTCCCTCAAAATCCCTCGGGCCTTGTCGCCCAGACCACCATGTTTCCCCCAGGGCCATTTCGGTCCTGCCGGGAGCATACTTGGGATCTGGATGCTTTTGTCCCCTTCCCGCGGGTGCCCACGCTCGGCCCCCAGCCATTCGCTTCTTGCACATAGTGCTCGAAAACCTGGGCGATCGAGCAGGCCTTTGGGACTGGGGGACGCCCACTTGTGCCCAGTGTCGTTGTAGCCTATTCCCTGGTAGTAGCAGTGACTCGGGGTCCAAATCGGCGCGTCCCTGGGGTGTGTCTCTCCTCACAGGATTTCGCACCCCCAGCCCTACTTCTCCCCGCTTTGTGGATCCCCGAGATGGCGTTGGCGGAAGGGAAACCGCGGGTGGGGATGATTCGGTTTTTGAGTCGGCTTTCTGCACCAAGCTTACAGGTTAAACAACAACCCTTTTAGCTGGCTTCAGCATACTGAGCTCTACCGCCTGGGGGTGGGGGAGGCGGATTTGTACTTTATGCCCAAGAAATTTCCACTTCACCTCAAATCTGTGGGGTTTAACTAGACTTACACCAACCCACAAAGGTCCTTGGTGCCCCTATTCTAGTCAGTCCATTTCCCTACCCACCCCCTTGCACTATTTTGATGATCATCATCTTGGCTTAGTTTTGCCAGTCACAACGTCATAAAACGGGCTTTCCAGTAAGTACTTTTTTGTGTCTCATTTACATTACTTTCAAAATGAATATCATTTTGGTGTCTCTTGGTGTTTCTGTTGCTGTAGGCCTGCACAGTGAAATGGAACCACTGGTCATTGTGGCAAGTTGGAAATGAGATGTGCTTTAATAATGTGCATGTTTTCCCCCCAAGGTTTAGTACAAAGCTGGTGACATGTAGCTCACAAGTAAATTGTTGCATCCATTACAGCGTTTCTCTTTTTTTTAAGACAGGGTTTTATGTAGCTCAAGCTGGCCTCAACCTCATCCTCCAGCCTACATACCCCACATACTTGGATTGCAGGCCTGCACCAGCACTCTATGTCAATGATTACAGTTTTTTCTCATTGGGTTAAAAAAATATTTTAAGATCTCTGGGAGGTGACTCCTGGCACTCCTAGTCACGAGTCTGAGGCAGGAGGACAGTGAGATGGAGACTAGCCTGGACTACAAAGTGAGATTCCATCATCTCAGAAAAAATCTAGCAACAACATTATTATTATTAATGGATGGGGTGTAGCTGAGGCAGTAGTGTGCTTGTCTATAGTTTGTAGGAAATCCTGGGTTTGATCTCAGCGTTCTGTAAAACCAGGGATGGTGGTCATCCATGGCTACATTTTGAGTTCAAGGCCAGACTAGTCTACCAAAAAAGGAAAAGATATATTTATTGTTAATGAAATCTCTTTGTTCATCTTTTTTCCCCCCAGTCAGGGTTTCTCTGTGTAGCTTTGAACCCTGTCCTGGAACTCACTCTGTAGCCCAGGCTGCCCTCGAACTCAGAGAGATTCACCTGACTCTGCCTCCTGGGAGCTGGGATTAAAAGTGTGCACCCCCAGTGCCTGGCTCCTATTACTTTATTTTAATTAAAATATTTATTACATTTATATATATGTACATATGTGTGTGTGTGTGTGTGTATGTGTGTGTGTATTTGTATTTGTGTGGGCAAATGTGGATATTCTTCCTACAGTCTTAAATTTTTTCCCAAACTTATTTGCTTAGGAAGGGTAGAAAGGATTAGGATGGGCATGTAACTCAGTGATAGGACACTTGCCTAGCATCCATGAAGCCCTGAGTTCAGTCACCAGCACTGAATAAAACCATACAAACCAGGTGTGGGACTACTGAAATGGCTCAAGCTAATTAAAAGTGCTTTTGGAGCAAGCCTTGAGGACCTGATTTCAATTCCCAGAACTCATGTAAAAAGGCTGAATGCAGCTGGGCCTGGGGCTCAGTGGCAGAAAGCTTGCCTAGCATGTGTAAGACCTTGTTTTCAAGTTTTGAAAAAAAAATCTGCAAAACTAAATCTGTAATAATTTTCTTTGCTGGTGTGGTGGCATAGACCATGCCTCAAAACAGAGTGAAAGGAGAGAACTAACTCCTGAAAGTTGTCCTCTGATTTTACTATGTAGGACTTTCAGAGCTAGGGTGCAATTGGTGCTTGCCTAGAAAACATGAGGATGTGACTTTGAACCCCAGAACCTATATAAAAAGTTTGAGCATGGTGACACATGTCTGTAATTCCACTTCTGGAGAGATAGAGATAGGCAGATCTCTGGGGCTCACTGGCCAGCCAGCCTAGCCTAATAGGTGAGCTCTGGTCCAATGAGAGACCCATGTCTCAAAGGAAGACAAACTTGAAGTTGTCCCTTGGCTTCCATATGCATGCCTACAGACAGGAATACATGGATGTGCACACAGAAGCACATGTAAAAAAGAGGGAGGGATGTGGTGGTTTTAATATATAGAAAACTAACAATTGTCTATAATTTATTCATCTAAATATACTAGCATGGTGGTTTATTTTTGACCAAATTAGGAAGCAAACAGTTAAGATTTTACTCTTAATATGAATAAACATAGATGGGATGCTGTTATATTAACTTTATATATCACTTTACCCCCATGTAACAAAGTTTTTTTTTTTTCTTTTTAGACAGTCTCATGTAGTCCATGCTAGCCTTGAACTCCTTATCCTCCTACCTCAACCTCCAAAGTTCTGGGATTATAGGTATGCATCTTCCCTATCTGAGATGAGAGCTCATTTCCTTTTAGGATCAAATAATCCAAACTTCTGAAACTTTTATTTCACCTTCTAGATAATGAAACAGGCTAAGAAGGCTTGCCTACATACAGTTTGCACAGCTTAGAAACATTTTCCCCTGCTTCCTATCTTAGGGAAATGTAGTTTGTCATAACAAAGCAAGGCACAGGTCGGAGTTGGAGTGGAGGGAAAGTCACAGGAATAAAGGCAGCTGTTTTCCTGGTAGGAAATAGCCTTAGCTTTCTGTCTAGTGGCAGGAATAAAAGCCACAAAATCAAGGGAGGGTAGTAGTTGGCAAATACAAATAAAAGTATAAGAGCTGGAGAAATGGCCTAGTAGCTCTTCCAGAGGACCTGGGTTCACTTCCCAGCACCCACATGGCAGTTCACAACTGCCTAAAACTCCAGTTCCAGGCATCTGCAGGCCCCAGACATACATGCAGGCAGAATAACCATGTGTATAAAATAATACAAAATTAAAAAAACCAAAAGTGTCATTATACATGTGTATGAAAATGTCACAATGAAACCCATTACTTTATATGATAACTGAAAAAGATAGTTGGTAAGTACTTAAAATAAAATCCCTGGCAGTGGGTTTCTCTACCAATGCAATAAGCCAAATCGACCGAATTAATAAATCCAGATTTAATAAACATAGCAAAGCTCTCCCAGGTGACTCTTGGAAAGGCAGGAGAGAAACAAGGAAGCATGTCTAGTGATCAGGTCTTAAATACTCGCAGGGGTGGTCTTGAGTGGCTCTGGGGGAGGAGCTGACACTTGGCAGGCTTTCTGAGGGGCAGAATCTGAAATAGGAGGAGTGGGACTGAGTTCCCGGTTGGGCTGGGTTTGGAATGGGGGAGTGAGACCAGAGAGGACTAATGAAAAGAAAAGAAGCCAACAAATAATGTTTTGTCTGCAGTCCCAGAATGTGGGAGGTGGAGGCAGGAAGGTTAGGAGATCAAGGCCAGTGTTGGCCTAGAACTCCCAGTGATCCTCCTGCTTCAGTCTCCTGAGATTACAGGTTAGTTGTACTCTGCCTTGGACTCTCATTTGTTTATATACTTTTTGGGTTTGTTTGAGACAGAGTCTTTCTATGTAGCCCTGGCCTGGTACTCCTTATGTAGTCAATGTTAACCTGAAAGGCTTGGCAGTCCTGCCTTGGCCTCTCGAGTTTGTTTCTTTTTTTTTCTAATTTGAGACAGGGTCTCACTGTGTAGCCGCAACTGGCCTGGAACTTTCTATGTAGACCAGGCTGGCCTTGAGCTTATGGAGATCTGTCTTTGCCTCCTGAGTGCTGGGACTGAAGGAGTGAGCCACTATACTAGCTAACTTTATGTTGTTGAGACTGTGTCTTGGCTCTGTCGCACCATGTAGCTTGGAACTCATTATGTAGCCTGGGCTGTGTTTGAAATCAGAACTATCTTCTTGCCTTAGTTTCCTGAGTACTGGGATTAAAGGCATTGGCTACTTTGCCTGTTTTTTTTTTTTTTTTTTAAAAATGATTTTTTTTTTTTTTTTTTTTTTTTTTTTGGAGACAGGATTTCTTTGTGTAGTCCTGGCTGTCCTGGAACTCATTCTGTAGGCCAGGCTGGCCTCAAACTCACAGGATCCTTCTGCCGCTACTTCCCAAGTGCTTGGATTAAAGAGCTACCATCTCCAGGCTCAAATCTGATTCTTAATTTGGTTGTTTCTCAGATTGCACCTGGGTATTGGCAGCCACCCCTTCGCCCGCCAATGAAGTATATCCTGGTTACTGGTGGTGTCATCTCAGGCATTGGTAAAGGGATCATCGCCAGCAGCATTGGGACCATTCTCAAGTCATGTGGACTCCGAGTGACTGCCATCAAAATCGACCCCTATATTAACATCGATGCCGGGACTTTCTCACCTTATGAACATGGTATGAAAAGGAACCTTTTCCTTTTAAAGTGCTAAAATAATTTGCAGTGGTTTCTTGTGTGTGTTTACATTTTTATTTATGTGCATATGTGTCTGTATATGCTGTGTGTATTCAGGTGCCAACAGAGGCTGGAAGAGAAAGGTCCACTGGAGCTGGAGTTACAACCTGACATTGGGTGCTCTGGGACCTGAACTCTGGTTCTCTACAAGAGCAGCAAATACTCTTAACTGCTGAGCCGTATCTTCATCCTCTTGTATTATGTTTTGGGTAATTTTTCTAGGATAGGCTTCCAGAAGTAGAATTGCTGGATCATACCTTAGAAATGTGCAAAAGTTCTTACGGTCATTGATTCATTTTCAGGTCACAGATGACATTTCACATAGTCAAGTCTTGTGGAAATATACCATTTTCTATGGACTATGTCCTGTTTCATTTTTCACAAAATTAATATATTTCTCTGAACGTTTTCCACTGTTGGAGTAACTCATTAATATTGACTTTATTTTTGGGGTTTTTAGGGGGTATGAATGCATGAGTGTATGTGTGGTTAAATGTGTGTGGAGGTGTGTTTGTGTGTGCATACACACACATGTGTGATTATGCATAGATGTGGATCAAAGATGTTGATCTCTGGTGTCTTCCTTGACCACTTTCCACCTTATATTTTGAGGCAGGATCTCTCATTTGAACCCAGGGCCTGTTGATCTGGCTAGTCTAGCTAGCCAACTTCCTGCAGGGATCTTCTGTCTGTCTCCAAAGTGCTGAGTGCTGGAGTGCTAGGATCACAGGCAGGCTGATGTGCTTACCTAGCATTGACAAGAGTGCTGGGAATCTCAACTATGCCCTCAGGCTTATGTGGCAAGTGCTTTACACACTGACATCTCCCTGGCCCTGACATATTTTTTTAATCATACTGTAGCCCAGGCTGACCTGGAACTCACTCTGTAGCCCAGGAAGGCCTTGAATTCATGGTTCTTCTCCCATTTCAAATTCCTTAGTTCTGGGATTATAGGTTTAAGTCACTACAACTGGGCATTTTGATAAGTATAAATTAGTCATTTTAAAAAATTACTAATACCAGGTTTGGTAGCACATGTCTATAATCCTAGAACTTGAGAGATGAGACAGGATGAATGGGGCTTCAGGGAGGGAATCAAGGCCAGCTACATAGTCAGAGGCCAGCTTGGGCTACATAAGACCCTGTCTCATAACGACTACAATTTCAAGGCAAGCCTGGGCTAGATGGCACCCTATCTCAGAAGACCAAGAGCAAAACAAAATGAAGAAAAACAAGGGGCTGATGTCTTTTATTCAGTATAATGCCACATAACTATAGAGAATTGAGTTTGTATACCAAGTTTGTAGAAGCCAGGCATGGTATTGAGCATCTGAAACTCCAGCATTGTTGAGGCAGAGAAAAAAAAAGGGTCCCTAGAACCCATTGACTAACTAGCCTAGCAGAGTGGATGATTTCCAGTTTCATCGGAAGAACAATTCAGGTGCAGAGCAATTGAAAAAGACAATCCTGGCCTCCACATGTATGGGTACACACATACATGCATACTTGCATTCACATTTCCAAATATCCACAGGAACACATACATACACCACACATGCCAAAATAAAAGGCATTAGCTTTAATTTTTTGGTATTTACTTGTATTTTATTTATGCGTGTGTTGTGTGTATGTATGCACGCATGAGTGCGTATGCACACACGAGTGTGTGCTCTATGGTGAGTGTGTGTCAGTCAGAGAAAAACTTATGGTAGTTAGTTCTCTTTCTTTTTTTGTTTTTGTTTTTTCAAGACAGGGTTTCTCTGTGTAGCTCTGGCTGTCCTGGAACTAGCTCTGTAGACCAGGGTGGCCTCGAACTCACAGAGATCCGCCTGCCTCTGCCTCCCGAGTGCTGGGATTTAAGGCGTTTGGCCCCCAATGCCCGGCTTCTCTTTCTACTATGTGGGTCTCAGGTTTGAATTCAGATTGTCAGGTTTGGCAGCAAACACCCCTACTTCTGAGCCATCCTGTAGGCCCTCAAACCTTTTTTACATGCAAGCAGAAAAGTGCATAAGTCTTAAGTATATAGCTTTCATGATGAATTTTATCAAAATGAACTTACTGTGTAACCAGCTTTGGTCACAGAACAAAAATTACTTTGTGGACTGGCCAAATGGCTCAGTGGGTAAAGTTGCTTGCTGCCCAACACTGCAAACCTAATGACCCTAGAGATCCTCAGAACCAACAATATGGTGGAAGGAGACAGTCAACTCCATAAAACTGTCCTGTGACTTCCGCATGTGAGCCTTTGCACAAGAGCCCCCTCTTTCATCATGCACATACTAATAGTAAATAAAATATTGCAAAAGAAAACAGTGAAATCCCTTTTGTGTTCCTTGTTCTTGATCCTTAACTGTCAGGGTTTCTTATATCCTGTTTTGTAGCATCAAAACTGTGCATTAATTTTACTTTTTTCCCCATCCCTTTTTGGAGATGAGTTGTTTGCTTCCAGTTAGTGGGCTTAAGCAATCATTTTACCTTCCCAGTATCTGGAACTGTAGGCTAGTACTACCACATCCAAGGAACTTTTTGAACTTTCCTTTCCGTTTTGATGTTAGTTGAATCTTGCAGTTATACTATTTTTTTCCTTTTTTTTTATGGTCCAGTCTTAAGGGTTAATTTCTAAAAATAATTTGGTAGATGTCTCTTTCCAATTTTAAAAATAAGAGTGTTTCCCAAACTTCTCATACAGTGTGTGTGTGTGTGTGTGTGTGTGTGTGTGTGTGTGTGTGTATGTGTGTGTGTGTGTGTTAGCGCGCATGTACAGGCGCACAGTGTCACAATTTCTGGGATTATAGGTATGAGTTTCCTTGCCTGACTGAAAAATAATCTGTTGGAAGTTTTAATTTCTACATTGCTTTTTGATCATAGGTGAAGTGTTTGTTTTAAATGATGGTGGCGAAGTTGATTTGGACCTGGGAAATTATGAAAGATTCTTGGACATTAATCTTTATAAAGACAACAACATCACCACTGGGAAGATATATCAGCATGTCATCAATAAAGAGAGGCGTGGTGATTACCTGGGAAAGACTGTTCAAGGTATTTACTATACAACATTATGGACCCTGTATGCTAAGCATCACTCAGAGGAAACTTTGTATTTCACTGACATGAGAAGGTTGTGGGCCCTGAAATCTCTGCTTTCTTATCTTTTCTACTCAGACATGTGAAGATTGCCCTCCTCCAATGTTCCTGAATATATCTTCATCAGTTTTTGTTATTAGATAATATTTTGAATTTGAATTTTCTTTTTTGAAAAAGGGTATCATGTACCCCAGGTTGGCCTTTAACTTGCTGTGTAGCCAGGGATGACCCTGAATGTGATGAACCTCCAGCCTCCACCTTTTTTTTTTTTTGGTTTTTCAAGACAGGGTTTCTCTGTGTAACAGCCTTGGCTGTCCTAGAACTCAATTTGTGAACCAGGCTGGCCTCAAATTCACAGAGATCCAACTGCCTCTGACTTCCTGCCTCCCAAGTGCTGGGATTAAAGGCCAGCAACAACACCACCCAGCTAGCTTCCACCTTTCTAAGAGATGGAATTATAGGCATGTATTATTAAAGCAGTTTATGCAGTGTTATGGATCAGACCTAGTGCTTTCTAACACAGCTATATCCCCAGGTCCTGATTTTATTTATTTTTGGTTGGTTTTGAGACAGTCTCACTGTGTAGATCTGGCTTGCCTGGAACTTGCTATGTAGACCAGGCTGGCCTTGAACCCACAGAAATCCACCTACCTCTGTGTTAGTTACCTTTCCCTTCCTTCTTTCCTCCCTCCCTTTTTCCCTCCCTCCCCTCTTCCCTCCCTCCCTCCCTCCCTCTCTCCCTCTCTTCTTTAAATAACGTGGCTTCTTCCTGATCAAATGGAGGATTTCTTAAAAATGATTTATTTTGATTTTAACTGTATTGGTGTTTGCCTGCATGTGTGTCTGTGTGAAGGTGTTGGAGCTTCTGGAGCTAGAGTTACAGATAGTGGTGAGCTGCCATGTGGGTCCTGGGAATTGAATTCAGGTCCTCTGTAAGAAGAGCCTTAACTGCTCTTAATGATTAGCCATCTCTCCAGCCCCTATTAGTCACTTTTCTATTACTGTGATAACAATGACCAAGGCACCTTATAGACTAGTTTATTTGGGCTTATGGTTTCAGAGGGATAAGAGTCCATTACTATCACATGGGGTGGAGGACACACAGCAGTAGCTAGGCATGGCTGCTGGAGTAGCAATCTGAGAGCACACAAGCAAGAAGCACAGAGAGCACACTGGGAATGGTGTGAGGCTTTTAAAGGCTCAAAGCCTCCAGTGACATGATTCCTTCAACAAGGCCCCACTTCTTAGGTACCACCAACTGGGGACCATGTATTCAAATGCCTAAGACTATGGGAAACATTACATTAAAACCAGCATACTCTGTTTTTCTGAGTGTTGGGATTAAGGATGTGTGCCACCACCACCCAGCTTTTGTTTTGTTTTTTTCTGAGTCAGAGTTTCTCTGTGTAGATCTGGCTGTCCTGGAACTTGCTCTATAGACCAGGCTGGCCCTGAACTCATAGAGATCTGCCTGCCTCTGCCTCCCAAGTGCTGGAATTAAAAGTGCACCATCACTGCCTAGCTTTTTTTTGGGGGGGTGGTTTTGAGATAGGGTTTCTCTGTGGCTTTGGAGGCTGTGCTGGAACTAGCTCTTGTAGACCAGGCTTGTCTCGAACTCACAGAGATCCACTTGCCTCTGCCTCCCGAGTGCTGGAATTAAAGGTGTGTGCTACCAATGCCCGGCCTTTTTTTTTTTTAAAGTGTCTCATATAGTAGTCTGGACTGGACTGGACTGGAGCTTATTTTGGATCCCAGGATGGTCTTAAACTCATGGCAATCATTTTGCCTCAGTGCCCTGAGTGCTGGATTATACCTGGCCTTGTTGCTAATATTTTATCACATTTATCTTTATTTTGTATGTATATGTGTATGTATCTTTGTGGATGCTTACATGCCATAGTGCACATGTGGAAATCATAGGACAACTGCAGGAGTTGGTTCTCTAATTCCATCATGTGGGGTTTGGGAATTGAACTCTGGTCTTCAGGCTTATTGGCAGTCACCCTTACCCACTGAGCCATATCACCAGTAATTATTATTCTTTTAAACTATTAAGTTCATGGACTGCATGCACACTTGTAATCCTAGCATATGAGAGGCAGAGACAGGAAGAGTAGGTGTTCAAAGTCATTTTTACCTACATAGCAGGTTTTAGGCCAGCCTGAGGTATATGAGCCCTTGCCTCAAAAAGAAAACCATTAGTGGCTGGTGAGATTGCTCAGGAGTCAAGAGCACTTGTTCTTGCAGAGGACCATAGTTTGGCTCCCCGATCCTATAGGGTGGATAACAACTGTGTATATTTCCAGTTCCAGGAGATCCAATGTCCTCCTCTATCATCTGAAGGCACCAGGCATGATGGATATACATACATGCAGGCAAAACAGCCATATGCACAAAATAAGTAAAATTTAAAGAAAGAAAACAATTAAATTTCTTGTATTTTTGGCTGGACATGGTGGTGTAGAAAGATAAAAGAATGATTGCCACAAGTTCGAGTACAGCCTGGCCTACATAGCAAGTTTCAGGCTACTCATGACTACACAGGAAGACCCTATTTCAAAAACAAACATTAAAAAAACCCCAAAACCAAGTTCATTTTATGGTAATAATTATAGAAGCCACAGAAAACTAAAATAATACCCAGGTGGATTTTGACATCTCTGAGCTGGGACCCTGCTGAGTGGGTTGGCTTCATCTATACCCTTGAAGTGGACTTTTCTACTGGCTGCTATTATCCCCAGGGTACTTAGGCCCCACCCTTGTGCAGCTGCTAGGTGTCACCATGGATTCTAGCATCTGGATTACCCAGAATCCTTCCTTGCTCAGTTTTCAGATGGCATGATAGGTAGCTCCTAAGTTTTTTTTTAAAGATTTATTTTTATTTATATGTGTGTATATACATGTATGTCACATGTGTGTTTGTGTGCACTTGAAAGCCAGAAGAGGGTGTTGGGTTCCCTGGACCTAGAGTTACAGGCAGTTATAAGCCTCTAGATGTGGGTGTTAGGAAGTGAACTCAGGTTCTCTAGAAAAGCAGCAAGTACTCCTAACTGCTGAGCCACTTCTCCAGACTGGTGTTTTTTTCATCCGCATCAGTGATAACACTGCTTTTTATTTCTTGTTCTCTGCATCTGGTCTGCTTCGAAAGTAAAGGCCTATCAGGGGAATGACTAGCCTTGAATACCTCAGTCCATACTGGTTCCAGCGATGGAGACAATGGCATAAGACCTTTAGCTGGTCTCATTAGCCTGGTGGCTTTCACATCATTTGAGAGGTCCATATGCTTGTTTCTCATGAAGTAACCTGCTGTGTTATTTATTCCTTCTTTCTGCAGTTGTCCCCCATATTACTGATGCTATCCAGGAGTGGGTCATGAATCAAGCCAAGGTGTCCGTGGACAGTAGTAAGGAAGATCCCCAGATATGCGTTATTGAGGCAAGCATGGAACTTTTCTTCATAAGTTACTGCCCTCCTGGGTCTTTAAGCATCTGGTTTTCATGCACCCTCCCCTCCTGGGTATTGTAAAGTAGGTTGGGGGTGGGGTTCCAGCAGGGAAAAACAGAGATGGTTACAAGTCAGTTATTAAACAGATCATCACACATTCTCTTGAACTGAGTATGCAGTGATCTGTGTGTGTAGACAGATGAGTAACGTAGTCAGTGTTGGAGTTGGAGCCTGGAATGGACAGTTTCTTCTGTCCCTGAGGAGCCTATAGACCCACTGTTCATACAAATGGAATGTATTCTTTCATTTGACAACATGGTGTTAGGTAGCCCAGGCTGGCCTTGAACTTGATATATAGCCAATAAAGCCTTTGAACTCCTGATCCTTCTGCCAAGTGCTAGGATTACAGGCATGTGCCGTTCCTTCTGGTTTATACCATGCTGGGGATGGGATCCAGGGCTTCATGTGTGCTAGGCATGTATGCTACCAATTGAGCTACATCCCTATCCCAGAGTATATTTTAATTCCTAGTATTGGAGAAATATTTGCAAAGTGCTGTGAAAAAGTAGAGATTAGGTTGGGAGTCAGACGGTGGAGGTGGGAGGTGATATCAGCCATTTCAAGAAAGCAGCATTTGAACTTGCCACTTGTTGACTGCCTTGACGTTTCTTTCATTCCTTTATGTCTATATAATATAGTGTGTTATACAAACTGTTTTCTACCTGGGTGTTTCTTCCTTCTTCGTTTATACCAAGGAAGTGATTCCTCTTAAAATGAGAGAGAGCTAGAGAGAGAGAGGGTGAGTTAGTGTGTGTGTGTCTGTGTGTCCCAGTGCTCATGTGGAGGTCAGAGGACAACCTTGAGTGTTGGTCCTCAGCTTCCACTTCCTTGTTTGAGACAGGGTCTCTGTTGCTTACGGCTTTGTATACTAGGCTAGCTGGCCCGTGAGCTTCTGGTGATCCTCCTGCCTCCACATCCCATATCTTGGTCAGCCCAAACTACAATTACAGACACTTGTGTTACTATGTCTGGTTTCCATGTGGGTTCTGGGGATCTGAACTCAGATTGTAAAGGCTTGCACAGTAAGTACTCCACCACTGAGCCATCGCCTTAGCCCCAGTATTTCCTTTTTGAAAAATATTTTAAAAGACAGTCTCAGATACCCCTGGCCTTAAACTCCACTATGTAGCCAAGGATGACCTTGAATTTCCAAACCTTCTGTCTCTACCTCCCAAGTGCTTGGATTACAGGCGCGCATCACCATATCCAGTTTTATGTGGTATTGGGGGTTGGACTCTGGGTTTCAGACTCTATCAGCTGGGCTGCATCCTTAGTCCCTTTTCTAAGTTTTTTGTTATTATTTTGTGCATCAGTTAGTTCATTAGTCCTGCTTAGAAAGCACAGGCAAGTTTAAAAAAAGCCAGGCATGGTGACACAGGCCTTTAATCCCAGGACTCAGGAGGTAGAGGCTGTCAGATGTCTGTGAGTTCCAGGCCAGCTTGGTTATATGGAGAGTTTCAGGCCAGCCAGGGCTATATGGCAAAAGCCTGCCTAAAAAACAATAACAACAAAAAGCAAAGGTGAGAGATTACTTAAAGAAGGCTGGATGACACCAAAACAGCACCGTTCCCATAAAATCCCCCCTAGTTATGGAAGATGACCTCATGGAAGCTGCATCATGTCTTCCCTTGCAGTTAGTTTCTCACTTCTTTTTATTGTCTCAAACCATATATAGTACCAAATGCTAACGTATGTTTTTTAAACATTTGATCTTATGACAAAGTTTTTTTTTTTGTTTGTTTGTGTTTGATTTTTTTTTGAGAAAAGGTTTCACTCTATAATCCAGGCTAGCCTGGGATTCATTATGTAGCCTATGCTGGCCTATGCCTCACAGAAATTCTTGTGCCTCAGCTTCCCAAGCGCTAGAATTATAGTAGTATGCCACAACTTTGACTTAGAAGTTTAACTTATACGTTGGATATAATAAAAGATTGAGAATGACAATAGAACAATTATAACAATAAATTACAATGCAAGTTATTTAAAACTTATGGATTATCTATTTTGTAGTTTTAAGTTTAATAAATGCAAACCTATAGTAAGAAAAGACTATTTCAAGGGTTCTGAACACAGTGATAATGGTGACCTAGAGCTAGAGAAAAGGGAGCTTCCAAATGGGTTGAGAGGTTGCAGTGCCACAATAGACCACATGAGGGCAGGAACAGATAAGATTTAAAGTCTTGGTCCCCTTTACTCATGCTCCAGTGACAACTGGATCCCTGTTGAAAAGCATGAGAGGAAGCTTCAGAGACTGGGAAAGGAGTTTGAAGCTAGCCTGGGCTACATATGGAGCTCCAGTCCGGTCTGAGATACAGAATCAGACCCTGCCACAATCCTCTTCCTCAAAAAACATACTAACAAGCCGGGTATTGGTGGTGTATGCCTTTAATCCCAGTACTCAAGAGGGAGAGACAAGTGGATCTCTGTGAGTTTGAGGCCAGCTTGTTCTACAGAGTGAGTTCTGGGACATCCAGGGGTACACAAAGAGACCCTGTCTCAAAAACAAAACAAGGCAAAACAAAACAAAACAAAAAACCACACTAACAAACAAAAAATAAAAACAGAAGGGGCAGTAGAGCACTTGCTTAACATATGTGAGACCCTGGATTATGTACCCAGCAACATAAAAACACAAAGGACAAAATCCTATAAGATATTCCTATATGGTTTGGTTTAAATACAGACTTTCTTCCTTCATTACTTCCTTCCTTCCTTCCTTCCTTTTTTTTCTTTTTCTTTTTTTTTTTGAGATAGGGTTTCTCTGTGTAGCTTTGAAGCCTATCCTGGCACTTACTCTGTAGACCAGGCTGGCCTTGAACTCACAGTTATCCGCCTGCCTCTCCCTCCCGAGTGCTGGAATTAAAGGTGTGCACCACCAATGTCCGGCTTTTTTCTTTCTTTTTTCCAGATAGGGACATGATCTGTAGCCTTGGCTGGCCTGGAACTGGTATGTTGACTTTGAACTCACAGAGATCCACCTGCCTCACCAGCTTCTGTCTTGAGTACTGAGATTAAAGGTGATAGCCACCATGTCTGGTCTGTTTTTAAAATTTAATTTATCTTTTGTATGCATCTGTGGTGTATGAGTGTTCACATGTGCACACACGGGTGTGCATGTGTATTCAAATACCTGTGATAGCCAGGGTTCTACATTGGTTACCAATTGTTCACCACCTTATTGTTTGAGACAGGGTCTCACAGAATCTGTAGCTTACTGATTTGGCTAAACTGGCTGGCCAGCAAGCTCCAGGGATCTGCACGTCTTCACCCCCACCTTCTGGGGTGGCGTTACAGACACTGCTGTGCACAGCGTTTTATGTTTGCTGTGAATCCTAACTCAAGTCCTCATGTTTGCCTGGCAATCATATTATTGACTGAGCTACTGTCCCTGTTTGTATTTACTGAGATAGTGTTTCTGTGTATATTTCAAGCTAACCTTGAAGTTAGTATGTAATCCAGGTTGGCCTTGAATTTATAGCAATTTTCCAGCATCATTCAGCCTCCTAAATACTGCTGAGATTAAAGATGTGTGTCACCATGCCTTCCTCCTTTTGCTGCTTACTGCTGCTGTCACACAAGCTACTGCCTCTTGTCCCTCCCTCCCTCCCTCCCTTCTTCCTGTCTTCCTTAGTAGGATTTTTGTATGTCCATCCTGGCCTCAAACTGGAGATTCTCATGCTTCTACCTAGGACTGTTTTTGTTTTAGGGATTTTCTTCATTAATTTCTTTTTCATTCTGGTGTCTTATAGTTAGTGAGCACTTATACCCTGCTAAGTTTTTTTTTTTTTACATTTTGTTGTTGTCATTAGTTTGAATTCTTATGTAGTTCTTGCTGTCTTCACACTTGCTGTGTAGCTGTGATTACCTTGGACTTCTTATCCTTCTGCCTTTTCCCAAGTGATGGGGTTACAGGGTGTGGTCAGCAATCATAGAAGTTCAAGGCCATTTTTGGCTATGTTGTGAATTACAGGCCAGCTTGGGCTACACAAGACCCTGTAGTATTGATCATGTAGTGGACAGGGTTTCTCTGTAAAGCCTTTTGCTGTCCTGGCACTTGATCTGGAGACCAGGCTGGCTCGAACACACTGAGATCCACCTGCCTCTGCCTCTGATCACTGGAATTAAAGGTGTGTGCCACTACTGCCCCACAGATCTTAAAATGACTTCTTTATCATATGAGTACCTACTACATGATCTATATTGCAGGTAATGTGTAAGGAAGAACTGGAAACATTCCCAGCCAGAATAAATGGAACACACCTGTAATACAGTACTCAGAAGGCAAAGGCAATGGCAAAGGGACCACTACCAGTTTGAGGCTAGCTGGGGCTACATTGTGTATGGTTTTTTTGTTCCACAATGTAGCCCCATCTTGGTGGCAAGTGCCTTTACCCACTGAGCCATCTTGACAGCCCTTGGAACTTTCCATCTGCTTGTGAGTTCTGTGTCCCTGTCTCTCTCCTTTTGTAATTTTTAAAAATTTATTTTATTTTTTAAAATTTTATTTTTATGAGTGTGTGTGGTTTCCCTGCATGTATGTTTGTGTACCATGCCTATGTAGTACCCTCCGGGGACAGAAGAGAGCAACCCCTTCGACTGGAGTTGCAGATATTTGTGAGTTGCCATGTGGGTACTGGGAGTTGAATCCAGGTCCTCTCGAAGAGCAGCCAGTCCTGTTAATCACCCAGCCATCTCTCCAGCTTCTCTCTCTCTTCTTTTGAGACTGAGTTTCACTGTAGCCCAAGCTGGCCTGGAACTCACTATTTAGCCCAGGCAGGCCTCAAACTCAAGGCAGTCCTCCTGCCTCACCTTTTTTTTTTTTTTTTTTGTCACCATGCTTGGATTTTTTTTTTTTTTTGAGATAGGATGTTCTCCAGGCTAGTCTTGAACTCGTGATATTTCTGCCTCAGTTTTCCCAGTGCTGGGATTACAGATGTGTCTTACCAGACCAGGCTTTTTTATTAATAGTTTTATTGAAGTTGAATATCATAAAATTTCATTCATTTTAGGTGTATAATTTAATTTATGCATTTATAAACTATTGTTCTTGTGAAAATATTAAACCTCAGTTCTTATCCTTAGTCTATTGAAATAATTTCTAAAGCTGGGGATGGTGGTACACACCTTTAAAATCAGCTCTTGGGATGCAGAGGCAGGTGGATCTCTGAGTTATGAACTAGCCTGGTTTATAGAGTGAAGAGTTCCAGGATAGCCAGAGCTACACAGAGAAACCCTGTCTCAAAAATAAAAATTTAAATAAAACAAAATTATTTCTAGACCAGGTGTGGTGGTTCATGTTACATGTTCAAGATCAACCTGGGCTATGTAGAAGTCCAGGCCACCCTGGGCTACAGTATGAAACTCCCCCCAAAAGTAATAATTACTTAATTTAGCTGGTTGTTTTGGTACATATCTTTAATTCCAGCACTTGGGAGGCAGAGGCAGCCAGATCTCCGACTTCAGAGCCATCTTGGTCTATATAGGGACTTCCAGGTCAGCCAGGACTTGTGTCAAAAGAAAAATTACTTAACTTAAAATTGTCTTGCTTTGGAAGTGCAGTGCAAGATGTTTGGTCATTTGTGCCTTATTTTTGTTTTTCACCCTCAGCTGGGGGGCACCATTGGAGACATCGAAGGAATGGCATTTGTGGAAGCATTCCGACAATTCCAGTTTAAAGCAAAAAAAGAGAATTTCTGTAATATTCATGTCAGCCTTGTTCCACAGGTGCGTTTTTCAACATATGTGGATAGTAACTTTGATCAATTTTACACTGATATTTTATGTGACCTACATTTGAAATTCAGGAGCCATAAATTGTCTAATTGTTCTGATGGGGACGCATTTCTTTTTAGCCCAGTGCTACTGGAGAACAAAAAACCAAACCCACACAAAACAGTGTCCGTTCACTGAGGGGGCTGGGCTTGTCTCCAGATCTGGTGAGTTAAGCACAGTGGGTAAGTTTGTCTCTATGGTCTGTAACACACACTAACAATGGCTTATTTCCTTTTCTGTTTTGATTCTTGGGATGGAACTTAGGGCCTTGCACATACTAAACATATGTTCTACCTTTGAACTATACACCCACCCCCGGTACCTTAATCTTTTAACTTAACATCTGAGTCATTTTTCCCTCTCAAATATCCCACTCTTATGACAGTAAACTTTTTGTACTGGCATCTAGGAAAAGAATATTTCTTTGTCCTTAAATTGGTTCCATTTATAGCAGATAAGATACAATACTCTGTCAATTTATAAGGTTCCTGGCTCCTTCAGAGTGAATATGAAACCTTGGGTTTTTCCTGTGTCCCTTCAAGGACTGGCTATCTTTGCTGTGAGCTTTAGTCTAAGAAGCATTCATGTGTTCCTACAGCAGGTAATCCAGTTACAGCCAGCAGCTTGTCAGAGGGAGGCAAATTAGGGAAAAAGCAGCTGCCTTCTTTTTAGTTTTTCAGGACAGGGTTTCCCTGTGTGACAGCTCTGGCTGTCCTGGAACTTGATTTGTATACCAGGCTGGTCTTGAACTCACAGAGATCTGCCTGCCTCTGCCTCCTGAGTGCTAGGACTAAAGGCGTGGGCTACCACGGCCAAGCACAGCTGCTTATTTTTATAAATAAAACTTTATGGACACACAGTCACTCATTTATTTACAGATAGTCTGTAGCTGTTTTGGCACAGCTGTTGAGGACCCTGCATTCCTTACCTGGAAAGCTAAAATGTTTCCTGTGAGACCCTTTAGTGAAAGTTTGTCAGCTTCTGGTCTATCTCCTCTTCTATTTAGTGAAACAGCTGTGTAGAGCTTTAACTCTTCACCAGAGACATTTTGATGTTTTGAGTTTTTCTGGTAGATTTCTGTTGAACTTAGTGAGACGTGCTTATGCTAGTGGCCAGATCAATTTCTCATGCTACAGAGGAATGCTCAGAGTGCACAAGTGAATCCTTGGTCTAGTCTCTTGTAGAAGAAAAAGAATGTAATGATTTTCTGACAATGAATTGGGCAGTTTGATCAACCCTGTTCCCATTTACTGAACCATGCATAACTGTCTTTCACAGATTGTCTGCCGTAGTTCAACACCCATTGAGATGGCTGTGAAGGAGAAGATTTCTATGTTTTGTCATGTGAACCCTGATCAGGTTGGTGCTTGGTGCTCTTTAGATTAAAATTTATTTGTGTGTGTGTGTGTGTGTGTGTGTGTGTGTGTGTGTGTGTGTGTGTATGAGGGTCCTTCTCCCGTGACCCATGTGTGGAGATCAGAGGACAATTTTGGGGATGGAATCCATTCTGTCCTACCTTTAGGTTGATTTCAGGGATCAAAATAAAATTGTGAGGATATGTGGCAAGTACCTTTACTCACTGAGCCACAGGGTCTCATGTAGCCCAGGCTGACCTTGAATTCCTGATTCTCCTACATCCTATATGCTGAGAACACAGTCATGAGCCACCACTTGAAGGTCAGGGTGGGCTTTTTGGCTCAGTGAAACTTCTAGTAAGAGAAATATGTGCTGTCTCTTTAGCATTTTTTTCATCCTGTGTTTTGCTGGGACATTTACTGCTTCATTCAGTTCTCTTTTGTACCTGGTACAGCTTAACACGCCTTAAACCACACAAGTATGCTGACATCCATGCTGTGTTTTCTGATCATATAAGTGGCTCAGCTGATTTCATTGCTCCATAAATTACCATAACTTAGGCTCTGGCCTTGTGTTCTGCAGGCCTTCCAACCTGGGTATTTTGACATGTAGATTTTCTTTTTCTTTCTAGCTCTTGTTCCCAATGAGCCTAGGGTACCAGGGGTTGCAGTTGGCTACATTATAAAGGGTGGTGTGACTGGAGCTCAGGAACAGGGTGAGGCTTGCTAGAAACCCTTCATGTGAGCTCTAGGCTCTCTAACAGCTGCTTAATGGGGTGTCTGCTTGGGGAGTGGGCTGCTAGAGTCCTCTGCTTGAGGCTTCCAAGCCCGAACTGCTTTTAAAAGCAGGGACTTTTCTCTGTGTGTTTGTGTTCTCTTAATGTCTGGGCCACATTGTGTTGGTTCAGTTGTTTTGTGTACCCTTCCTCTTGGTAGACAGTGCTTTACATGTGGACTAAGCAAATGCATCCTGGTTTCCAGAATAGAAAAAGATAAAAACATTTTGTGTTGGATTGCTCAGAGCTCAGAGAAGGAATGTGGGGTTCCATCTGTGGCTGTTGTGGAGTCTGAGACCTGTAACAATGATCCAAGTCTCTTTTATTTTTAAGATTTCTCTTTGTTATTTTAAGTTTATGTGTATGTGTATGGGTTTGTATAAGTGAGTACAGGTGCCCAAAGAGGTTGTGGGTGTTGAATCCCCCTGGAGCTGGAGTTACAAGTGGTTTTGAGTCATCTGATATGGGTGCCGGGAATCTAACTCTCGACCTCTGCAAGAGCTGTAAGTACTCCTGGCCACTGAGCTGTCTCTTCAGCCCCAGTGATCCAGGCTTGCTTCTCTTCTCTTCTCTTGTCTTCTTCTTCTTCTCTTGTCTTCTCTCCTCTCCTCTTGTCTTCTCCTCTCCCCTCCTCCTCTCCTCTTCCCTCCCACCCCCTCTCCTTCTCCCTCCCCCATGCTCCCAAATAGCTCAGGAGATCTTGTCCCTTTTCCCTT